ACTTGTGAATTTTTCCTCACTTTGAAAATCTGATTGTGTTGCTTCAAGTACTTGCCCCTCAGTGCATAATACATCAGTAATGTACAAGCCTCCCATGGGAGTCAGGATTTGCTGCAGCACCAGTGATCCCAGCCTCTGTCCATGACTCCTTGAAGGACCAATAGCAACATCATAGAGGCTGCAGTCTGGCCTCTGGAACTGTGTGGGTCCTTGTGGCCTGGCACACTAAAGGGGCCACTCCCCAGGAGGCTTGGGCATTGATCACGCCCTCTAGCTTCATGACAGAGGTCTCTCCAGAGTCTGCAAATGCTGCTTGCTTAATGTGATGTCCTTGTCTTATGCATAACTGGAAAATTCTAATGTCTGGAGCTGTGGGTAAACTCTTGGAACAAGCAGCATCTTGGCTGCCCATGCAGAGGCAAACAAAAGCATGGTGTTCCAAACACTGAAAGACAAGCCTACACCAGATATACCGTCCTTTAAAGCATGTGCTACAGTCCACTGCTGGAGATGCAATACTAGATTAGGTTAACTTCATTAGTTAGCTCAAATGAACAGAAACAAGGCATGCATGTATGATTAGCAATGTACCCATGCAAGGCTGTAGTGCTGAATTAATTCATCACATTAGCCTCTGTCTGTGGAGTTTGGCAATTCCAATATTGGAAACCTTCACACTTAATATATTGGGGTGGCTAGCTGCTTCCTAGATATTTCCCACCCCCCCCCCCCCCCCCCATCTTTCCCAAAGAGAAAGTGTGGATGACTTTTGTGGCTAAAGATGCTGTATTAGAACTAGTCTACTGTCATGCGTAACCTTTGGCAAGTCACTTAATCTATCTGTCCCCAGTCTGTAAAATCAGGATATTTGTCACCTTGGGTTATGAGAATAAGCCTAGCAGTGTCTGTGGTGCTTGCACTCTATGGTGAGTGAGGGGCCATTGAGCTACCTACATACAGTATGTTTATACTGCAGCTGATAACCTGCAGTAGGTCCATGGTATCTTGCTCAGGCTACAGAACTGGTCTAATGCTGTATAGACTTCTAGGCTTGGATTGCAGCCTGAGGCTTGAGACCATTCCATCTTGCAGAGTCATGGAGATCATGTTCCTTCCTGAGCCCAGAAGTCTATACTGCATTGGAATAGCCCTGGGACCCTGTCAGGTGACACAAGCCAGCTGTGAGCAACTAATAGTACTGACATGTATGGTGACTATTCCCAAACAGGAATGCACATGCTACATTACGTATGGCACTTGTCTCCTGTCCCAAGCTGTGTATTATGGTAGTGTGACGAGGGCTCGGTCACAAATTCACCACAACACTTTCCCATCAGTTATGAAAATACCTAGCCATCACTTGCTTTCTAGCTACAGAGTTAGAACACCATCCAGTCTTGGTGTTTGCCTCAACAGTGCAGTAGTACCTGCTTGCATTATAGCTAGAGTTCAGTATGTGTACCCTTCATGCAGTCTGGAAGTGACTGCTGATTGGTGGGGGAACAAACCAATTAGAACGAGACTTACATTCCAGTTTAGCCCAGAATTAACCTAAATATTTAATAGGATTAACCAAAAGCTTTGGACTGAAACAAAATAACACACTGGCTTCCAGTGAACAAACCTGAAGCCAAGAAGCTGTTGAACACCCTGCCCTAAGTGGCTTTTTTGGGAGGGGGAAGGGGCTCGCTGTTTGTGGAGAAGCATCACTCCCACAAATCTCATGCTTCCTGTAGGGTTACTTACGTTCTTTTTAAAGAACCATCAGTTAGTCTTGAGAGACCAACTTAGAAGCTGCAAGCTTTTCATATAGTCATATTGGAAAGGAATCTGAACTCTGAGGCTTTGTCTACACTGCAGGGTTTTTGTGCAAGAAGCTTTTTGCAGAAGAGATCTTTCGCAAAAGCGCATCTACACCTCAAAAGCAATGCGCTTCTGCACAAGTGAGCATCCACACTGCATGGACGCTCTTGTGTAAAAGTTCTGATTGAGGGCCATTCTGTTAATGGGAGAGCACCTGTGCTTTTTCTGTTAGGCTCTTTTTGGAAAAGAGACCCCTGCAGAGCGTCCACATGTGCCTTTTTGCTCAGAGCTGTAGCACACAGTTATTCCTCGTGGGGGGGAGGAATAACTCTACCGGCAAAAGCCCTCGGTCCTATTGATTTAGTGTGTGTATCGAGTTGTGGATGCTCTGCCAGCTTTTGCACAAAAACCTTGTATAGGCAGTCCCCGAGTTACGCGGATCCGACTTATGTCGGATCCGCAGTTACGAACGGGGCCCTTCCTCTCCCTGGTCTCCAGCAGACCAGGGAGAGGAAGCAAAGTGGCGGAACACGTGGGCAGTGGGCAGGGCTGTCAGCTGACCGCGCGCTCCGTGGCTTGGCTCTGCTTTGCCCCCCCCCCGTCCCCCTGTTCTGCAGACCAGGGGGACGGGGAGCAAAGCAGAGCAAAGCCGCAGAGCCTGGGGTTCTTAAGTTGAATCTGATCAGTTTCAGCAGCGGCTGAATCTGGACGCCAGTTCCGACTTACATACAGATTCAACTTAAGAACAAACCTACAGTCCCTATCTTGTACGTAACCCGGGGACTGCCTGTATATCTAAAACATGGACCCCAACTACTCTCAATTTAGTAATCTATATACGATTTTCTCATAGTTAGCTGTTTCTGTTAAGGGTATGACCCTTCTTTTTTTGCAGTCATTATTTCAAAGTTCTGAAGCCAAATTTATCCCTGATGTAACTATTAAAGGCAGCAGAGTTACTAAAGGGATTGATTTAGCCCTCAGTATCACAATAGCATTGCTTTATCAGACATTATACTTATTAACATCTATCCCTATATAATACAGCACATGGCTTTCCAGCTGTGGCTGTTTTCCCATCTCACTTCCAGTGACATATGGCTATACGGAGAAGCACCTCCTCTTCTTAGAAGTATCCTTCTCTGACCGTCTGCGGGAAATGTAGCAAGTACTTGCTTTTGGGTACTGTTCTACATTTGACCCTAACACCATTTCTGTCTCCTGGAATTGAACCAATGATATCTCACCAAAAGACAACATCAGGGACAACTGAAAGGACAAACAGGAAATGTATAGGGACCTGAGAAATCATTTGAAGAGAGGAGTTCAAAGAGGCCAGGTAAATACTTCTCTAGGCCTAATCTTAATTAAAGGTCTAAGTTGTTGATCTTTCTCCTTTAAGTATCTGTGTCTCAACACCATGGGTTTGTCTTTTTAGGATGACATAAAAGAGAATAACGTAATTTCTCCAGCTCCCCTTCGTTTCGTTTCATCTCAGTCTGCGTAGCTGTAATATTCAGTTCTGGGTACTTACTAGAGTCTCCCAAAAGCATTACTGGGATGAATTAGCCTCTCCTTGCAACAGTATGTGATACTCATGCAACCCCAAATTGCACTGGCCTCTTTGATGTACCCTGCTCCATGTTCTCATTACCTAGATGGCTAGGTCTCCCAAAACTTGTTTTCAGGCATAGTAAATTTGTGGTGTTTTGTGCCAAAAAACTATGGCTCTGTAATGCCCTGTGTATTGAGACAGGCAAATAGTGAAAATGTTGCACAGGATTCTCTTACTGGTTTGGGAGACACCAAACAATCTACTTTGGTTCTCTGAAACCCCTGGGCTAGACTGTACGTGGTATGGTCTTTCAGTCTCTCTTGCCCTTACTGTGTCTGTCCAGCTCTGGCCTGCATCATCAAACTCCTTCCTGAAGTGTTGGAGTCTTCACTATGAACACCTACATCTAGAGCAGGGCTACTCAACAGCCTACTTGTGTAAGCTCAAACTGCATCACAGGCCGCAAGGCTCAACTCACGGCTCGCAGGTGGGATCCTTTGAATATGGCCTCCACTGAGAACATGCTCCACAACAGCGAGTCAACATAATGGTCTTCTGTGATATACGTTTTAGTAGTTAAATTCCTGGACTGTTTTTGCTCATTAAAAGTACTGTCATATGGGTGGAAATCAGGCAAATATTGCATTTTTATTAATATCAGCAGAACTGACTTAAATGGGGCCTGCGTGTGATGTCGTCTTGCCTTAATCTTTGAAAGAAGCTATTTGCACGTATATACAACCACACTTAAGTTGGGCCCTCGGGGCTTCCAAAATTGAGTAGCCCTGATCTAAGGTTTGTCCTCATGTTGTACTGAATGGAATGTGCCTGCAAAAAGCATCTTTATTGTGAAAGCACATCTTTTAAGGGTCCCTAAAGATGCTTTTTGCAGGCACATTCTTGTGAAAGCACATCTTTTAAGGGTCCCTGAACCAAGTAATTTGTATGGTGCTGAATTATAGCTTATGATCTGTATAATCATGCATGGCTAAGGGTTCTCACAGTCATATGGGTGGTGGGCTACTGAGTTGAGTTTTACAAGGCAAGCAGGACCTAGATTCCAAGGCCAAAAGGAATTATTTTGATCCTTTAGTCTGTCTGTTATACAGAGCCAGAACTAAATTACTAGACACTTTCTATAATAAAGGGGGGGAAAAAATAAAACCTTGATCTTTTAAATTAGTCTCTTACCCATTTTTGATGGCCCACAAGGGGAAACAATGAGTTGTTTGGGGAAGCAGGTAAAGGAAATCTTTCTGGATTCCCCAAAGCTCATCTGTACCCTCGAATATGGAGTTGGGAGCCCACGTCTGATTATATCTAAGTGATGGAATTACCAGGCTCCTAGCTGGTTAAATCCCTTCTGTGCCTGACAATTGCATTGTGGGCCCCCTGTCACCATCCAGGAAACCTTCAGAAAGGTAGCATTTGTCACTGGTAGTCAGCCTGGTCCACCTTCTTCTGGGACAGTAAGGAAAACCCTTCATCCAACTGGCTAAAGCATGGTCTCTACAGAACCAGCTCCCATGTAGCTATATCGCTCTGGCAAAATGGCACAGAGCTATCTCTAGTGATGACCAGTACTCCTTTAGCACTGTCTAGAAGCTATGTACTGATGTGGATTGTCTTTTTTTCCCTTTAGATCCTGGAAGTGAAGGAAAATGGGGTCCGACTGTCTGAAAGTCACCAAGTATTTTCTCTTCCTTTTCAACCTCCTCTTTTTTGTAAGTATTTTTGTGCCCTGTGTGGGAGGGCTTGAGTAGGTGGGTGGCTCTGAATTAGATGATGAGCAGAAGGGACTATATATAGCCTTAGATGTGGAACATTAAGTGACCTTTAGACTTCAGAATAAACTAAAATGTATCAGACCATTCCAAAGCTATCGCTACCTCTCTGGTAGGAGAAATCCACATAACTGACCCTGACAATCCCTCTTCTGCCTAAAGTAGGATAGGTGGATTGTCCCAATACATCTATCTGCTGTGTCTGGGAATGTTAAATTTCAATTAATCAACTAATCAAATAGTTAATGGAATTTCCATCAACTACTCAATTAGTCGATAAGGGAGGAGGGGGTCAGTTCTTACTACATTTCAAAGGCAGAGACGATGCCGTTGGGGTTCCCTGCTGTGCCTCTGCCTCTTATCAGTCTCCCTACACCCACACCCTGGACCATGGAGATGGTGCTGGGAAGAACTGGCTTGCAAGCGGGCTCCTGCTCCCCCTTCCTCCCCTTGCTACCTCTGAAATAGAGGCAGCAAAGGGGAGGAGAGAGGAGAAATGCGAGTAGTTGACTTGACTACCTGATAAGCCTAGACTTATCAGGTAATTGACTATTCGACACACTTTTTTTTATATCCCTAGCTGTGTCTAGTGCCTGCACCCTCCTCTGTCAATGGAGGATTCCTTTGTGACAATCCCTCTTCTGCCTAAAGGTGGATTGTCCCAATACATCTATCCTACTATCTGCCGTGTCTGGGAATGTTAAATTTCAATTAAACTGACCCTGACAATCCCTCTTCTGCCTAAAGTAGGATAGGTGGATTGTCCCAATACATCTATCTGCTGTGTCTGGGAATGTTAAATTTCAATTAATCAACTAATCAAATAGTTAATGGAATTTCCATCAACTACTCAATTAGTCGATAAGGGAGGAGGGGTCAGGTCTTACTACATTTCAAAGGCAGAGACGATGCCGTTGGGGTTCCCTGCTGTGCCTCTGCCTCTTATCAGTCTCCCTACACCCACACCCTGGACCATGGAGATGGTGCTGGGAAGAACTGGCTTGCAAGCGGGCTCCTGCTCCCCCTTCCTCCCCTTGCTACCTCTGAAATAGAGGCAGCAAAGGGGAGGAGAGAGGAGAAATGCGAGTAGTTGACTTGACTACCTGATAAGCCTAGACTTATCAGGTAATTGACTATTCGACACACTTTTTTTTATATCCCTAGCTGTGTCTAGTGCCTGCACCCTCCTCTGTCAATGGAGGATTCCTTTGCTTCCCCAGAAATGTGCTGCTGTTGCATTTCTTTCTCTGCCACATCTGGAACAACTGGGTTGCTCCAGAGCAGTGAAGCCACAAAATCTGAAGAATCAACTGCAAACCTCCTCTTTTAAATAAGCCAGACAGGCTTCAAAGAACCATCATAATTTCACGTCAAGTCCCAGCGGCTGGTTTTGATTTTGAACAAGCTGAATCCATCCCAAGTTTTCCATCTGAAGTGGATTTTTTTTTGAGGGCCTTGGTGCAGGCTTGCCTGGTGAGATTAGAAGGATTGGGTTTTGGGAGGATGACCCACTCTGAGCTGCTTCAGAATCCCTGATCAGTGCTGATTCGTTTGGTTTGGGTGACAATGAGAAGGTCTCTGTCTGGCGCATGTATCCAACTGAGTGTTTGGCCCAAACTTCTCCTTCAGTCTCTACTCTCTTCTCACCCCTCCCTCCCCCCCCACCCCCAAATATCTTGTTTGGCTTAGTGGGTCAGACATTTCTCCAGGCTGATCTAAATTGTACTTGTCTCTCTGTCTGTCTCTCTCTCTCTCTCCAGGTAGCCTGAGACAAAGCCTTTTATCAGAACTGACTACTGCTTTTAGTTCAGGTCTCAGGCTCACTGTCCGTTACACCACTAGGGCAGGGAATACTGAAGTGGTCTTAGCTAGAAATGCTGTGGAGTGGTGCAGATGCTCACTTGATCCCCCTTCTTGAGTAGAGATGTAAAATAGTCATCTACCCGATAAGCCTAGGCTTATCGGGGTAGTTGAGTTGAATACTTGCATTTCTCCCCACCCCTGCTGCCTCTATCAGACTGTATATACAGAGGACTCTATAGCTGAGGCAGCAGGGTGGGGGGGGAGGGGGCAGGAGCCGGTGCTGGGGGGAGTCAGCTTGAAAGCTAGTTCCCTTCATCAGTCTCCACAGTGCGGTGGGGCTGATCAGAGGTGCAGCGGGGAACCCAGCGTGAGCTTCATTCCCTGCTCACGCCAGGTCCTAGCTGTTACGTCTCTACCTTTGAACTATAGCAAGAGGCAAGGGTGGCTCTTGCTACAGTTCAAAGCAGAGGGGCAGCGGGGATAGCGAGTGTCCCCTCCTTATTGGCTAATCTGAGTAGTCGATGGAATTTCCATCAACTACTCAAACTTCAATTAATCAGCTAATCAACATCCCTACTTGGGAGCAGGTAGCTAGGTTGATGCAAGGCTTCTTCAGGCTAGCGCTGTCCATGCTGGCATTTAGATTGGCTTAACTGTGATGTCAGGGGTGTAGATCGCACTCACTCCTGAGCAACATAACTGGGCTGATATAACTTTAGTGTAGACCTGGCCTCAGACGAAGGTCGCCAATTCCCAGAATAGCTTCAGTCAGGGATATGTTGAATGGTTTGGGGAGGGGGAGGGTTACACTGGGGAGGGGGTATCTGGCAGAGGAGCCTTGTAAAAGGAGAGCTTTACTTTCCAAGTTCGTCCTCGGTGGGGTGGAAGAGTAAAGCTATGCTCACTACCGTGCCTCAAGCTGTACTAGGCTGCAGCCTCCCAGAGAGCTGGCTTCGATGTTGCAACTGGGACACATCTGGCTCTGGTTTTCCTCAGTTTGCTATGCTAGCTAGTTCCCTGCCACAGGTTTCTGTTCCTTCCCTCTGTAGTGGCCAGAATTCCAGTTAAAGACTGTCTGGGATCAAAGGTCATGGATGTTGTTGGCATACAAAGAGAGCCTTTTAAGGGCCACCAGAGCTTTTGAGGGGACTGGTTTTAGTTTAGATTAAATCTAGTATGTGGGAGTTATAGGGGGATTGTACTGGGCCCTTCTGCCAGTGCACGCTTGTTCCCAGGCTTATCTGTAACTTCCCATTAGTTTCAAGGGAAATTAGGATTTTGTTGCATCCTTACCAGCCCATAACAGAAGGTATAACACCATAAACAAAGTGATACTTTATGGTATCCTTTGACCCCTACTTCTCTGTGGGTGGCTGGGGTCCAGAGGGACCTTAAAGTTAAGAGGCTGTGGCTTTCCTTTACTTCAAGGCAGGTTCTGGTTTGCGTTGAGCAAGAGTAGTGGGGGCTCTGTCCTGCCCCCTGGATCATGGGGTGAGGTGGGGAGAGGTACCCTGGGACAGTCATCCTGCTTACAGGCACTGGGGCATTTCCTGTCTTCAGTGTAAGAGTATGAAATAGAGGGGGGAAGGTTTTGGGGGGGGGGGTGAATAGGGATTGATGTGCCTTTCTTTTCTCTCCTCACTTATTGGTTTCAGGGCCTCTTTGCAGGGGATGAGGAAACTGTGGGGTAACCAAGTGGTGAGAGTCTTGTCCGTAAATAGCCTGCTCTCTAGGAATGGAGGTGGTTCTTTCTATGGCATTTAATCCAATAGGTGAGGCTGCGTGCATGTGTGGTTTTTTTTTTTTTAAATAATAAACCAAATCCAGCAGTGTCTGTGCATGTGTGGTTTTTTTAAATAATAAACCAAATCCAGCAGTGTCATTTTGCCCTAGAATAACCTTGTTTATCTTGCGGCTGCTGTGCTTTTGAGTGGGGATTGCAAAGCTGCTTTATTCCACACACTACCCATGTATGCTCTGCCTCCTCTTCTCAGCCAGCGTTCCTGGGGAGCCCTAACGGGACAGCTTTGAGTTGGCGAGGGGGAGGGAAGAAAGGGGCAGAGCTAAGCTGCTCCATCAAATTGATCCATGTCTGAACTGTCAAGTATTTTCCCACATTTTGCATGGGAAGAGGTTGAAAGAAGCTGAAGCGGCGGAGAGTAGTAGCTAATGCTGGAACTCTGCAGCAGGATTCTCATGGATCTTGGGCCTCTGGCTGGTTGCAGGTGACAGGAAACAGCTGTTCTCTGGGCAGCTTCTGGATGTTTATTCTCATGTGATGTTTGCAGAAACAAACTGCTGTTTTGACTTAGCACCGGGCCCCTCCCCAGTGGAAAGCTGAGCTGCAGTGCTGAACTAGGGGCAACAAGTTACTGACCAATTGTGGTCCACTCATCCTTTCCCTGGCCAGACAACTGCCATTGTGGGCTCCCTGTAAATAATAAAAGGGTTGCCCTACCATCTAGCAGTGCAGTCACTCTGGGGTCTGTTCTGAAGCAGAAGAGCCAAACAGTACCCCTTGTAATTCATCCTGCTCTGCTGTGGATGTGGGGAGGTGGAAACCTATCCCAAAGCTGCTGTGGCATCTAGAAATGGCTTCCATTTGGGGTGGGTAAGTGACTTTCTCCTTAATGGAAGGATTCAGTCCCGGTTTCTGAGTTGCTGCCTTGTGAGAACAGGGGTCTTGCATTAACACTCAGTTTCTTCCTGAGGACAGCATGTGGGAGCTGGAGTCTTTCCCCTTACAGTAACATAAGGATGACTGGGTTGAAAATTCCTTATACAAATCATGTATCCCAGCAAAATGGATTCACTCCACTCTAATCTTCATGTCCGAGCAGCCCTGCCCAGGGGTGCTGAGAGCTGCTTCTGAGAGCTGTAGGAGCTCATAGTTCCAGAGACTTTTTTTCCTGTGTCCAGCTATGCTAGTGAATAACAACTAGTGACTGCCCTCACCTGAAGTGACAGACATGTGCTGGGCTGGGTTGGATTAGGGGTGTAAACCTCAAGTTGGCTGGAGCACTGGCAATAGGAAATGCCTGTCCTGGCAGAACTCGAGTGTTAATGACCTACTTTGTATGGTCCACGGTGACCCCCTCAGTTGCAGCCCTGTGATGGGCACCTTCCTCCTACTAACCTGGGCTGGAGGGAATCCATTCAATGAACATCTCAAAACTCCTCTCAAATCCAGGGCTCTGCAGTATGTTTGGATTTCCCTGTGAAATGTGAGCGTGTGCATGCAATTAAGGTTACAGGCCTGAACCACTGTAGGACTTCAGGTGACCAGGGTCTCCAGGTCCTCAGTCTGAGCTCCCGTTTGCTGTCAGCTGTCTAGGAAGGATGAAAGTGAGAAATATTTCTTAGTCCTGGTTTTGTAGTCAGGGTCTCTAACCTACAGTGTCCTTGCCATGCTGAAATGGGCTTTTCCATCCTATTGGAAGTTGATCACTAATGTTGCAGGGGTTGGAGGGACACTGCCACTTGAGCTGGTGGTTTGGACAGCTGTCCGTAGTAGGTGATGGCTCCTGAGCCAATTGAAGTAACCAAATTGCAGCCCGCAGTGCTGTTTGGGTTTATGGGGCTCAACAAACACCCCGTGGGTGGGAGCCAAACCAAAAAATAGTCCATATAATCTTCTGTTATGTGCTTTAGTAGTCAAATTCTTGGACTGTCATTGCTCATAAAAAGTGCTGTCATGGGTGGAAATAGGTAAATATTGCATTTTATTAAGTCAGCAGGACTGACTTAAATGAGGCCTGCGTGTTGTGTCGTCTTGCCTTAATCTTTGTATTCATGCCTGTTAGTGTGAAACTATTTGCATGAATATGCAACCACACTTAAGTTGTGGCCCTTGGCATGTGCTGTAAATATCATTGTGGTCCACAGAGCTTCCAAAGTTGAGTATCCCTGCCCTAGGGGGACCAGGCAGGATATGTTTGGAGTGGAGACTTGATGATCCAAGGCACATCAGAGAGCTCCCCTGAATGTGGAGGAAATTCACCTATGCTACCTGCTTTCTCTAATTTTCCTTATGGCAGATGTGAGATGCAATCCTGAATGGCCAAGTGGAGAGGTCATTGTGGGGCTGACTAGGAGGAGGCTGAGTGTTTACAGTCAGTGATGTATTGTGCTCTGGGTATGGCTTTCTTTATGCAGTGAATAGTGACAAGCAAACTTGCATTCAAACAATTGCCTACTGCATCAGTAGCTGCTTCTCAATTTGTGTGCTGAACTGTCTAGGGATGTTTCAGGACCATAACGACCACCTTATTGGAAGCCTCTACCATGGGAAGACCTACACTAGATAGACCCTATGATGATTGGGATCTTTTTAGAATTGTCCAAGTAGCAGGACTGAGTGGAGGTTTTCACTGGACTGTGCAGGTCTCTGTGCATCACTCACATGGGCATTGAGAAGAGAATAACCGTTACCTTGAACAAATCCCCAAGGTTAAAAACAACCCTCAGGCTAGCTGGTCTGCTAGGCAGAATGTCATCCCAAGATAGCACGGTGCTGGGCCCTGTAATTATCCCTCCTGAGGGCAGTATGGTTTGAGGCCATAATTGCCACCTTGCAATAGGGTTGGCTTGGCACATCACTCAAGTGCATTTATTTTTGGTGCTGGATAGTGACACTGACACTTTCCCCAGGAAAAGCCCTGGTGGCTGGTATTAGAACAGATCAGAAGTCATGGTCTCAAATCTGCTGTAGGCATCTGTCTCTTCTCCCCTTCTTCCCCATCCCCTCCCCCTGCCCTTTTATTTCTAAGGGTCTGTGCCCTGAAAGCTGCTGGCCAGCCCCTGGTCCTGCACTGTGGGAGACCCAGTTTGCTGGCTTGGGGATTTCACTGATAGAAGTTTTACGCTCTGACAGGAGCCCTGGCTAGACCCCTGTCCCCTTCCTTAGGTATAGAAACACCTTTGCTTAATCTGCTCCTAGTGAATTTCTGCATTTCCCACCATGGGCACTGGACACTTCCCACCTGCAGACAGGATGATAAAGATGCTGACCGCAAGGTAGTGGAAGAAGCAACCCTGCTAGCCGTGCTCAGTGACCTGGCAAAATCATGGTTGTGGATATGAGATTCTCTCTGCTAGGGGATAGCAGTATAGCTACAGGACAGCCTGTATCTCTTCACTTCCTCCTCCTCCCCCAATCCCTTTTCTTTTTTTGCACTCTTGTCTACAGCAGCTTCTGTCAAGCACAATTTACAGATTAGAGCAATGGGGCGGAGTGAACAGAGGCCCTGGATGGTCAGCCACATAATTGCCTCCCTGAAACACAACTCATCAGGTGTGGGTGAGGTGTTTTGGTTTGGGGTTGAGGGCTTTTCTGAAGAAACAAAAGCAGAAGATAGGCAACATTCCAGGGTCACTGCTCTATCAAGTCATGCAGCCAGGATCATGCATTTTTCTTGAATATTTTTGCAGGAAACTATTGGCATGTGCCATGTTAGCTGGGGTTCTCCTACCTCCCTCTATTTTGCCTTTTTCTAGCTGCCTCCCTGGCTTGCTCTGCTGTTCTAACCTTGCCAGGGACACTAGTGTGCTCAGACCCACTGGAAGAGGGCCAAATGGGCATTTTTTTTCCAGTAATGGACTGTGTTTAGTCCAGTTTGAGATAGGGATGTTGCCGTGTAGCTGACGACACTGTTAACCAATAAGCCTGGGTTTATCAGTTCATCTTGTTGACTATGTGCATTCCCCCCTGCTCCCTCTCCCTGTAGCCTCTGTATCAGATTCAGCAAGTGGGGAAGGCGGAAGCTGCTGCTTCATCTGCTCCCCTCACCGTCTGTGCTGCTGCCCCTCAGGTGGGAACCAATATGTGCAGGGAGCCAGCTTTTAATCCATCTCTGTGCATGCCCCCTCACCTTGTTCCCCCCACCCCCCTGTAAGAAGATAAGAACTGGTCTGGGGGGGAGTGGTCTTAAAAGCCAGCTCCCCCCCAAAAAAAACACTGGCTCTGCAGAGTTGCCTGCCCCCGATTCCTTCAGAAGCAATAGTGCCAGGGCGGCGGGGGGGAGGGAGGGAAGGAGAGGCTGTTGCAAAATGGTCCCTGTCTGTTGGGGGGAGGGGGAGAGGCGGGTCTGAGCGCCTTGCGGAGAGGGGCTTCTCTGTGCTGGAGCAGCCTCTCTCCATGGAGAGCTTGGACATCCTTCTTCTCCCTCCCTCCAGACAGAGGCTGCTGCCACCCCACGCTGCTGCCTCTGTATCTGACTTTTGAACAGTCATGTAATGGATAACTTATGTGGTTACACAACTATTCAGTTGCACACAATCTAACATCCCTAGTTTAAGATCAGGATGGGAGCTATTGCACACTGCAGGATCCAGTCCTGTAGCCATTGCGAACTTTTCATGCAGTTTCCTTCACTCACCCTCTACCACTTAACTCTGTTTTAATTTGGTCAGTGAGTTTCTTATCCTTTCCAGGAGGCTTCTTGATCACCAGTCCCCTGCCTAGCTACAGGCACCTCTCCCAGCCATGTACTGCTGTCCCCCTAAGCAAGGAAATGGAAAGCTGATTACACTCCTTCAGTTCAATGAACACTTCCTGGTATAAAGAGGTGCAAGTCTGTTTATGGCATTGGCAAGGACTGTCAAGTTAGAGCAGTCTTCAAAACGTGTGGGAACTGTCTGTCCATTTCCCCCACCCTCCCTTGCTGGCTCACTTCGGGAGCTAACTTATTATTTTCCACGTTTCCACAAAGCTCTGTGAACATGCTCCAGCTGGCCCACAATCTGAATCTTCCCATCTTGGCTTGTCTAACCTTCTCCGTCCCATCCTGCAGTCTTGTTACTGTTGGTGCAAGGGCCTTCTTGGCAGCTCCTGCTATCTGGAACAGCCTCTCTGTTTCTGCTGGGACTCCTTCCCTCTCTCATAAGGTCGCAGCAGAAACCTCTGTTCAAAGTGTGCTGGGTTTTGGGTTTTTTTTTTTTCCATTAAAGGGATGAGAGACTGATTGGTGTGCCTTTGAAGACATAAGGGCACGAATCTCCTCTTGTGCAGTGGAGCTGTGATCTCAAATGGGGTATCTGGGCACCACACCATACTGGGTGTTAGCATTAACCCAACAGAAGATGTGGTACAAGGCAGGCCCCTAATAATGAGGGCTTTGCCTCTAGTAGGACCAGAGAAGCTGTGTATGTGTAGCAAAGTGTAACCCACGCTCAGTCCAGTGCCTCCTTCTCTCAACACCCAGCTCCACGAGTACCCAGAGGAGTTGCTACTGCTGCTTCACCCCGGCATGCCGTGTGATAGCTGGGGATGGGCTGTTGCTTCTCTGTGGAACGAGCAGCTCTTTCTGGTTTGTGCTATCCCCAGAGGTTGCTAGCTGGCTGATACCAGGGCAGTGTTATGGGTTTTGGTTGTGCTGTTGTCTTTTCAGTTTCCTGGTCGTAGCTTGGCCCCATGCCAGAGGCTCAGCTGCCATGCGCATGGCTTGTGGCTTTATTCCTATGCAGGGGGAGGGGTGAACTCTCTGTCTGTGCAAGTTGTTTGTAGGAGCCTGAGTTTCATTGTAGCACTAACGCTTTTTGCATTTGCTTTGCACTTACCGGCCGGAGTCACATATGACAGGCTGGCATGTCCCTTACACCTACCTGATGCATCCTTGGAGGGTCCCTATTGCAAGTCCTCCTCCCCAAAGGACTAGGATGCTGGTTTCCCAACCTGTGTGAAAGCACAGCCCAGGCACCCTGAATCAAGCAGGAAGGTTTTATCTGCCCAAAAGCTCCTACAATGCCTACTTGTGGGGGTGACATACCTGCCTCTTGCTGCTGTTTCTGGAGAGCAGTGCTCCTTACTTGCACAGCTTGTGCCTTGAGTCACTAAGCCTTTCAGAGCACAGAATCTAGACGGTCTGTCGCAGACCACCTCTGCAGCATCATGTATAACTAGAGCATTGCATGAAGAGGGCCTATGTGCTGATAGCTGAGACTACTGTTGGGAGTGATGGTTTAATCTTTCTCACTCTTTGGGGGGGTGGGGTGGGAGGGATGGGGAGAATGGTGGGATCTGACACAAGCTGTTTAGCTCTCAGCCACTATTTCGTGGTGGTGTTCAGCTAGTGACTTTCACTCTTGTTCTTTCAGATCCTGGGTGCTGTGATCCTGGGCTTTGGATTGTGGATCTTACTCGACAAAATCAGTTTCATTTCATTTCTGCGTAAGACTATGAATCATTCTCTTCCTCCCCCCCCCCCCCCCCCCACCTTTTTTTTTGCACAACAAAACCCTTGGGGTTTTTCACAAAAAAAAAAATTTTTTTGAGTTCTCCCTCAAAGACAAAGGCATGAGCAGAGGAGGTGGGGAAGAGGGGCCTACATGCAGCGCTTCCAAGGAATATATAAGAAGCAAAGACTGGCTTTTAGAAGAACATTAGTAGTCAATGATCTTTCTTCATGGGACTGTTGGAGTAGTCGAGGGATGGTGACCTGAAAATGTGCCCCATTAAGAGAAAGTAATTCTAAATAAAAGATCTCTTGAAAAATCCTAGATGTCTTCCCCAGAAAAATACATTACTAGCCACATGGCTAGATCATTGCTACAGGTCCACAGTTCAAATGTGTTCCTAGAGAGGTGCATGGAGGCAGCGTCTGCCTTACTATTGAATCCCATGTCCTATGTGGTCTGCAGAGATGGCAAAAAGAGCAGCTGATTCACAAGCTGTTGTCTGAAAAGCAGTGGATTTACAAATACACTGATTTTGGTGAATAACTGAGGCAATGGATCTTTTCCTCTTGCTGTTAAATTCACTTTTAGCCCGAAGTCTGCAGCCCCTCTGCACGTGTAGTAATAGGTTATTTCTGGGTAAGGAGACTGTTAGGAAAAATACCTTTGACTCTCCTCAGTGGGGTGAGTCACTACATAGTCAAAAAACTGAACTGACAAACTTAGAGCCTGGACCAGGTCGGGATTTAAAGGGTCTGTCAGTTCAGTTTTTTGACTAACTTAGAGCCTGGACCAGGTCGGGATTTAAAGGGATTTAGGTTAGCTGGGTTGCTAAAATTTGGCCTGTTGAAGGGTGACAGAATCCTGTGCTAAATGTTAGAACAGTCCCACTGATTCTTTACTGAGGCATCTGGGTTGCTACTTCAGCCTCTAAAAGGGGAAGAATCCAAAGGTGACCGACAATGAGATTGCAAAGGGATAGAGCTCCCTTCACGTTTGCTGCCATAAGGGTTTGCTCCGGGCCTGACTGCTTGCTTGTGGCATTCCACGAAAAAACACTGGTATCCGTTTCACTGGAGGATGGCCTAGGTCTCTGATTTGAACTCTGACATTGCACCATTGGCTGTATTGGCTGCTCTTCACTCCTCTAGGGACTGAGTCTTTCCATGTTGTAGCTCTGTCTTCCCTCCTTTGCCCCTCAGCCCCCATTTTACCCATAAGTTCTGCTGACTGCAGCATAGGGTTTATGCATCCTTCCTTAGTTTGGAAATCCAAAGTGCTTTCTCTGTCCCACTACTTTCCTTCCCCCTCTCCCCCCTTTCCTGTGCTGCTTTCCCAGTCTCTGGCAAGGTTACAAAAGCAAAGGGGAGGAGGAAAGAGTTCTGCACAGCAGGGCATTCCAGCATGCTGCCAAAGGGGCCTACGTGTCTGTTTTTCCTTTTGGCTGCCTGCCCAGAACAAGGGGAAGACATGGAGCAAGGGGGAATGGAAAGCAGGAATCTCCTGCCAGCAGAGTCTGGAGAGTCTTCCTTGGAAGAGCCAACATGCTGCAAGCAAGGAGCCTGGGATCTTTTTGAAGACTTGGCTCTGGGGTTGGAAATATTTTTTTTTTTTATTTATTTTTTTTTTTTTTTAAATGTGGAAATGTCCCATCAATTTTCTCCTAGGAATACAGCAATTCAACAAGTGTTCAAAAGCCCCAATCCATGTCTGCATTTCTGTGGGGAACTTGAGCATTGGGCTTGGCTTAGATCCAAACTTACATTTGTGAGGCTTAGAGTTTTAGGGCTGCTACATGCCACCCCCACCGTTAAAAACCATGCAAGACAAACCTGTTTTGTCTAGTCTCAGGGTCAAGATGTGATGTCCTGACATTACATCAGTCTCAAAGTTGTCTACTTTCTTTTCTGGAGGGTGGGCGGATGGGTGGGTGTCCCTGTTCTAGATACCACATGGTGTGGGATTCTCTCTCAAACCACTGATCCATGAAGATCCCAGTCTGGACACATGCAAGGTTAAGAGCTGGCTCAGGTTATTCCAATTAATGACTAGCCTTGGTGGCTACCTACCTTCTTCACAGAACATTCTAGTGGAATGGATTTCCAGTTGGATACGTTTTATAGCTGTCACTTCCCTGCATTCTGACAATCCCATGTTCCTAAATGTCTCTTTGGCACTGAGGTTCCTCATAAGCTGGCTAAACCGGCTTTTTGCCTTTCCGTTGTCTTCCTCCCTCCTACCTCTTTGTAGGGTGGCAGTCTGCAAGGAATAGTCTTCTCATAATTAGTAAGTCTCTCTCCTCTGTGGCTTCCACAATTGGTATTTAAGGATGATTGAGAAGCAAATAAAGACTGAAATGGCAGCCCTTCTCCTATAAAGTTACACCTTCCAAATTGGGTTTACTGTAATTGGATGCTGTCCCCTCTCCCCAAAGTGCAAGAATTGCCAGTAGGCTGTGCAAGAGGCACGACAATTGAAGCTCGATCTGTTTTAAACCTGAAATAACTTATACACAGCTGGCTGGCCACTGGCATCCGAGCTGACTACACTCAAATTGTCTAGTAACTTAAATACCTGCAACCTTGGCTAGTCAACACATGCAGTTGGTTGGGTGTCAAACTTGTACCATCTCTCTCTCAATGAAAGGAGAACGTAGTCATCTTTTTGTACTATTCCTTTCCTGCACATGGGTGAAAAGAAACTGGACAAAGTAAAGATGGCTTGTTAATGTGCAAAGGCAGATGAGAGGGAGTGCTTAGG